ATAACACACACACACACACACACACACACACACCACTAATAAGCCAAATCTACCTTTAAAAATTAATCATCCATGCCTAGTTTCTCCACCTTTGCATCTCCATCTCCCCAAGGGTGTCTACACTAAAAAATTAGGTCGATTTAATAGAAGTCGATTTTTTAGAAATCAATTTGATAGTCAATTGTGTGCGTCCCCACTAAGCGCATTAAGTCGGTGGAGTGAGTCCACAGTACCGAGGCTAGCGTCAACTTTCGGAGCGTTGCACTGTGATAGCTATCCCACAGTTCCTGCAGTCTCCGCTGCCCATTGGTATTCTGGGTTGAGCTCCAATGCTTGATGGGGCAAAAACATTGTTGCAGGTGGTTCAGGGTACATGTCGTCAGGCCCCCCTCCCTCGCTCCCTCTGTGAAAGCAATGGCAAAAAATCGTTTCTTGCCTTTTTTCCTGGGTTACCTGTGCAGACAACATACCATGGCAAGCATAGAGCCCGCTCAGCTCACTGTCACCGTACGTCTCCTGGGTGCTGCTGACAGACGCGGTACTACATTGCTACACAGCAGCAGCTCCTTGCCTTTGCAAGTTAGCAAAGACTGTTAGCAGCCGTATTGCACCACCTGTTGCTGGCTCCTGATTGCTCCTGGCCGACCTCAGGTCGGTCAGGGGCACCTGGACAGACATGGGAGTGACTCCAGGTCATTTTCTTCTTTAAGTTTAGTCTAATGGAGATTCAGTCCTGCCTGGAATATCATGCGAGCTAGAGGCTTTTGCCTCAGGCTGCTCTCCCAGCCGGCAGCACCGCGCGGTCGCACCTACCCCAGCCTACCCCTTGCTCCCATGGCTCATGAAGCCTGGACAGTAGTAAGGAGCAGTTCAACTATAAGCTAAGCAAGTGCAGAATGGTGGTAGAATGTGTCTTTGGACATTTAAAATCTCGCTGGCGCTGTTTGCTGACTAGGCTGTTTGCAATTAGAAGAGCACAGCAAGGCGCGCTGCGCATCACAGAGGCTTTGAAAACCAGTTTCATGACTGGCCAGGCTTCGGTGTGACAGTTGTGTGTGTTTCTCCTTGATGCAAACCTGCCCTCTTTGTTGAATTTAATTCCCTGTAAGCCAACCCTGTAAGCCATGTCGTCAGTCGCCCCTCCCTCCGTGAGACGAGCTGCAGACAATCGTTTCACGCCTTTTTTCCGTGCAGACACCATACCACGGCAAGCATGGAGCCCGCTCAGATCACCATGGCAGTTATGAGCACTGTAAACACCCCGCGCATTATCCTGCAGTATATGAAGCATCAGAAACTTCAAAAGCAGGCGAGGAGGCGACGGCAGCACGGTGACGAGAGTGATGAGGACCTGGACACAGACTTATCTCAAAGCATGGGCCCTGGCAATTTGGACATCATGGTGGTAATGGGGCAGGTTCATGCCGTGGAACGCCGATTCTGGGCCCGGGAAACAAGCACAGACTGGTGGGACCGCATAGTGTTGAAGGTCTGGGATGATTCCCAGTGGCTGGGAAACTTTCGCATGTGTAAGGGCACTTTCATGGAACTTTGTGACTTGTGCTTCAGGGGAGGGGAAAGCAAGAATACCAAGATGAGAGCAGCCCTCTCAGTTCACAAGCGAGTGGCAATAGCCCTCTGGAAGCTTGCAACACCAGACAGCTACCAGTCAGTCAGGAATCAATTTGGAGTGGGCAAATCTATTGTGGGGGCTGCTGTGATCCAAGTAGACAACACGATCACTGAGCTGCTGCTATCAAGGGTAGTGACACTGGGAAATGTGCAGATCATAGTGGATGGCTTTGCTGCAATGGGACTCCCTAACTGTGGTGGGGCGATAGACGGAACGCATATCCCTATCTTGGGATTGGAGCACTAAGGCAGCCAGTACATAAATCGAAAGGGGTACTTTTCAATGGTGCTGCAAGCACTGGTGGATCACAAAGGACGTTTCACCAACATCAACGTGGGATGCCTGGGAAAGGTACATGATGCTCGCATCTTCAGGAACTCTGGTCTGTCTGAACAGCTGGAGAAAGGGACTTACTTTCCAGACCAGAAAATAACCGCTGGGGGATGCTGAAATGCCTATAGTTATCCTTGGGGACCCAGCCTACCCCTTAATGCCATGGCTCATGAAGCCATACACAGGCACCCTGGACAGTAGTCAGGAGCTGTTCAACTATAGGCTGAGCAAGTGCAGAATAGTGGTAGAATGTGCATTTGGACGTTTAAAAGTGTGCTGGCGCAGTTTACTGACTCGGTTAGACCTCAGCAAAACCAATATTCCCATTGTTATTGCTGCTTGCTGTGAGCTCCACAATATCTGTGAGAGTAAGGGGGAAAACGTTTATGGCGGGGTGGAAGGTTGAGGCAAATCGCCTGACCGCTGATTACGCGCAGCCAGACACCAGGGCGGTTAGAAGAGCACAGCAGGGTGCGCTGCGCATCAGAGAAGCTTTGAAAAACAGTTTCATGACTGTCCAGGCTATGGTGTGAAAGTTCTGTTTGTTTCTCCTTGATGAAAACCCGCCCCCTTGGTTCACTCTACTTCCCTGTAAGCCAACCGCCTTCCCCTCCCCGATTTGATCACCGCTTGCAGAGGTAATAAGGTCACTGTTGTTTCAAATTCATGCATTCTTTATTAATTCGTCACACAAATGGGGGGATAACTGCAAAGCCGGGAGGGGTGGGGGAGGAGGGAAGCACAAGGCCACACTGCAGCTTTCTGTTGCTTGGGCAGTCCTCTGGGGTGGAGTGGTTGGGTGCCCCTGCCCACCGCATTCTTGGGCGTCTGGGTGAGGAGGCTATGGAACTTGGGGAGGAGGGTGGTTCATTACACAGGGGCTGCAGCGGCGGTCTGTGCTTCCGCTGCCTTTCCTGCACCTCAACAATATGCCAGAGAATATCAGTTTGATCTTCCAGTAGACTCAGCATTGCATCCTGCCTCCTCTCATCACGCTGATGCCACCTATCATCTTAATCCCGCCACATGTCCTCGCGTTCATTTAGTGCTTTCCTGCATTCTGACAGTGTCTGCCTCCATGCATTCTGCTGGGTTCTTTCAGTGAGGGAGGACAGCATGAGCTCAGAGAACATTTCATCACAAGTGCGTTTTTTTCACCTTCTAAGCTTCGCTAGCCTCTGGAACGGAGATGATATGGGGAGCGTTGAAACATTTGCAGCTGTGGGAGGGAAAAAAGGGAGAGTAGTCTTTAAAAAGACACATTTTAGAGAACAATGGGTAGACTCTTTCACAGTGAACCAAGCTGTTAACATTACATAGCACGTGTGCTTTCTTTACAAACATTTTTGCCTCTTATATTGAGGGCCTGCCGGTTTGGTGTGAAAGATCACACACACGCAGGGTCGGTGGGCAACAGAATTCGGCTTGCAGGCAGCCATGGTAAGCCACAGTCTTTTGGCTTCTTTAACCTTCATAACATGTGGGAATGGTTTCAAACAGCAGCGCCTTCATTTCACATACCAAGCACCCGTTGGGTTGGCCATTTAAAAATGGGTTGGCCATTTAAAAGGAGGGGCTGCGGTTTTTGGGTTAACGTGCAGCACAAATCGAACTAACTCCCCCCCCCCACACACAATTCTCTGGGATGATCGCTTCACCCCTCCCCCCACCGCGTGGCTAACAGGCTTTGGGAGTACATCCAGAAGAGCTTCATTGAGATGTCCCTGGAGGATTTCTGTTCCATCCCCAAACACGTTAACAGACTTTTCCAGTAGCTGTATGGTGCGAAGTCCAGTAGCGAATGCATCCGAAGTCTTCAGGGCAAATTAATCATTAAACACGCTTGCTTTTAAACCATGTATTATATTTACGAAGGTACACTCACCAGAGGTGCCTTCTCGGTCCGGGAGCCCGCCTTCAGTGGGTTGGGAGGGTACTAGATCCAGGGTGAAAAACAGTTCCTGGCTGTTGGGGAGAATCCATTGACGGAGTCCATGCACGGAGCTGGGGTAGTTGTAGGGGCACCCCCTAGAATGGCATGCAGCTCATCATAGAAGCGGCATGTCTGGGGCTCTGACCCGGAGCGGCTGTTTGCCTCTCTGGCTCTTTGGCAGGCTTGCCTGAGCTCCACATGCGGCACTGCTGTGGGTCCCTGTTATAGCCTCTGTCCTTCATGCCCTTGGAGATTTTTTCAAATGTTTTGGCATTTCATCTCTTGGAACAGAGTTCTGATAGCATGGATTCCTCTCCCCAAACAGTGATCAGATCCAGTACCTCCCGTTCGGTCCATGCTGGAGCTCTTCTG